TGAAGATGTTTAATGCCCGCTGTCTGCAGTCTCTGATGAAGTGACGAGGATAGTGGAGTTTGGAAAATACTTGTTCAATTAAAGTGCATTCTTCCTCAAGGAACTCAATGCTGCAGATTCTGAGTGCATGCAGGAAGAAGCCTATAATTACACCACGTTTAGTTTTGGTGTCGTGGTGAGAGTAGAAGTGGAGAAGACCGTTTTGGTTGGTTGGTTTTCGATAGACTTTAAAACGAAGTTCATGGTCAGCTTTGCAGAGAAGAACATCAAGGAAAGGAAGAGTGTTGTCGACTTCTTCTTCAAGTGTGAACTGGATTGAGGGCTCGACCTGGTTGAGCTTGTCTTGGAGAGCTTGAACGTTGAAGCTCCTGGGAGTTATGAAGAGAATGTCGTCAACATAACGGAGCCAGGTGAAAGTCGAAGGGATAATGGTGGAGAAACGCTCGGCTTCCAGATGTTCCATGTATGAGTTCGCCAGGAAGGCACTGAGTGGCGAGCCCATGGGTAGACCAAAAGTCTGTTGAAAGAGTGATTTTCGGTGGGCATTAAACATCTTCAACACACCCAGAGAAGACACTACCGAGAAGAGATACATAGTCCTCCCCACCAACTCCATTGCCAAACATGTTTCCAACATCTTTTCCAATACCTCATTCCAATGTATCTACCTCCACAACCACGACCATCAAGGACATCACCAGTAGTAGACAGGACAAGCTTCCATCCTCTGCCGGGGTATACATAATCCCTTGTAATGACTGCAACAAATTATACATGGGCAAAACATCAAGAGACCTCCAAACACGTATTTCAGAACACCAATACGCAAGCAGGACTGATCATACAAGGAATGCCTGTGTACAACATCGCAATTCACACAACCATTTAGTTAACTACAGAAACTCAAGACTTATCGCCACAGAAGACAACACTCAATGCCGAAGAATCCTGGAATCATCGCTCATCTCTATAACCAACAATTTCAACCAGACCAATGGCTTCTATAACATAGCTGAACCACCTGCCAAGAAACTTCTTCATTGCTATCCCACATAAGAACATAGAACACTGCAGAAGGTCTACTCACAACTTGTCCAATACCCCTGCCAAGCTACCCAAGACTCTATAACCCCACCCGGTAGATCATCAGATGCAGCATTCTCCACCTGACCTCAACATTCTGAACCTGACTATAAATACTCAGGTACCTTCCACCCCAGGTAGATCTGTTTGTGACTTGAAAAAGCCCACTGTGTGGGTGAAACGTTGTCAATAAAGGATCACATTATATTGCATATGTGTTTATATTTCCATTGTGTCTGTGTTTTATACCATTTATTTTCACCTAGTTGGGTTATTGAGGCTAAAACCTTAGGTATTTTCAAATTTAGGTTGGATAAATACATGAGTGAGAGGGGTTGGATTTGAGTGGGACTTGCATATGAGTGGATAGTTTTTTTTTTTTCTCAACAAGTCGGCCGTCTCCCACCGAGGCAGGGTGACCCAAAAAAGAAAGAAAATCCCCAAAAATAAAATACTTTCATCATCATTCAACACTTTCACCTCACTCACACATAATCACTGCTTTTGCAGAGGTGCTCAGAACACAACAGTTTAGAAGCATATACATGTAAAGATACACAACATATCCCTCCAAACTGCTAATATCCCGAAACCCCTCCTTTAGAATGAAGGCATTGCACTTCCCATTTCCAGGACTCAAGTCCGGCTATATAAAAAATAACCGGTTTCCCTGAATCCCTTCACTAAATATTACCCTGCTCACACTCCAACAGATCGTCAGGTCCCAAATACCATTTGTCTCCATTCATTTCTATCGAACACGCTCATGCACGCCTCCTGGAAGTCCAAGCCCCTCACCCATAAAACCTCCCTTACCCCTTCCTTCCAACCTTTTCGAGGACGACCCCTACCCCGTCTTCCTTCTCCTACCGATTTAAATGCTTTCCATGTCATTCTACTTTGATCCATTCTCTTTAAATGACCAAACCACCTCAACAACCCCTCCTAAGCCCCTCACTAATACTTTTATTAACTCCACACCTTCGAATTATCTGCATAATATTTGCACCACACATTGCCCTTAGACAGGACATCTCCACTGCCTTCAAACGTCTCCTCGCTGCTGCATTCACAACCCAAGCTTCACACCCATATAAGAGTGTTGGTACTACTATACTTTCATACATTCCCATCTTTGCCTCCATAGATAATGTTTTTTGACTCCACATATACCTCAACGCACCACTCACCTTTTTTCCCTCATCAATTCTATGATTAACCTCATCCTTCATAAATCCATCCGCCGACACGTCAACTCCCAAGTATCTGGAAACATTCACTTCTTCCATACTCCTCCTTCCCAATTTGATATTCAATTTTTCTTTATCTAAATCATTTGATACCCTCATCACCTTACTCTTTTCTATGTTCACTTTCAACTTTCTACCTTTACACACACTCCCAAACTCATCCACTAACCTTTGCAATTTTTCTTTAGAATCTCCCATAAGCACAGTATCATCAGCAAAAAGTAACTGTGTCAATTCCCATTTTGTATTTGATTCCCCATAATTTAATCCCACCCCTCTCCCGAACACCCTAGCATTTACTTCTTTTACAACCCCATCTATAAATATATTAAACAACCATGGTGACATCTCACATCCCTGCCTAAGACCTACTTTTACTGGGAAGTAGTCTCCCTCTCTTCTACACACCCTAACTTGAGCCTCACTATCCTCATAAAAAAACTCTACAATATTTAATAACTTACCGCCTATTCCATATACTTGCAACATTTGCCACATTGCTCCCCTGTCCACTCTACCATATGCCTTTTCTAAATCCATAAATGCAATAAAAATTTTCCTACCCTTATCTAAATACTGTTCACATATATGCTTCAATGTAAACACTTCATCTACACATCCCCTATCCACTCTGAAACCTCCTTGCTCATCCGCAATCCTACATTCTGTCTTACCTCTAATTCTTTGAATTATAACCCTACCATACACTTTTCCTGGTATACTCAGTAAACTTATTCCTCTATAATTTTTACAATCTCTTTTGTTCCCCTTCCCTTTATATAAAGGGACTATACATGCTCTCTGCCAATCCCTAGGTACCTTCCCCTCTTTCATACATTTATTAAACAAAAGAACCAACCATTCCAATACTATATCCCCCCCTGCTGTTAACATTTCTGTCATGATCCCATCAGTTCCAGCTGCTTTTCCTCCTCTCATTCTACGTAATGCCTCACGTACCTCCCCCACACTTACATTCTGCTCTTCTTCACTCCTAAAAGATGGTATACCTCCCTGGCCAGTGCATGAAATTACCTCCTCCCTTTCTTCCTCAGCATTTAAAAGTTCCTCAAAATATTCTCGCCATCTTCCTAATACCTCCATCTCCCCATCTACTCACTCACCTACTCTGTTTTTAACTGACAAATCCATATGTTCCCTAGGCTTTCTTAACTTGTTTAACTCACTCCAAATTTTTTTCTTATTTTCATTAAAATTTCTTGACAGTGCCTCTCCCACTCTATCATCTGCTCTCCTTTTGCACTCTCTCACCACTCTCTTTACCTTTCTTTTACTCTCCATATACTCTGCTCTTCTTATAACACTTCTGCTTTTTAAAAACCTCTCATAAGCTAACTTTTTCTCTTTTACCACACCCTTTACTTCATCATTCCACCAATCACTCCTCTTTCCTCCTGCCCCCACCCTCCTATAACCACACCCTAACCTGAGCCTCACTTTCCTCATAAAAACTCTTTACATCATTTAACAACTTACTACCTATTCCATATACTTGCAACATCTGCCACATTGCTTCCCTATCCACTCTATCATATGCCTTTTCTAAATCCATAAATGCAGTGAAAACTTCCCTACCTTTATCTAAATATTAAATAATAATATGTAGAGACATGTAGAGAGAATGGAGCGAAATAGAATGACTTCAATAGTGTATCAGTCTGTAGTGGAAGGAAGGCGGGGTAGGGGTCGGCCTAGGAAAGGTTGGAGGGAGGGGGTAAAGGAGGTTTTGTGTGCGAGGGGCTTGGACTTCCAGCAGGCGTGCGTGAGCGTGTTTGATAGGAGTGAATGGAGACGAATGGTTTTTAATACTTGACGTGCTGTTGGAGTGTGAGCAAAGTAACATTTATGAAGGGGTTCAGGGAAACCGGCAGGCCGGACTTTAGTCCTGGAGATGGGAATTACAGTGCCTGCACTCTGAAGGAGGGGTGTTAATGTTGCAGTTTAAAAACTGTAGTGTAAAGCACCCTTCTGGCAAGACAGTGATGGAGTGAATGATGGTGAAAGTTTTTCTTTTTCGGGCCACCCTGCCTTGGTGGGAATCGGCCAGTGTGATAATAAAATAAATAAAATAATATTAGCATTATATTGAAATATTTTCTCCTGCCTCTGGGGTGGTTTTTTGGGGGCTGAAATGGATTAATGGCATTTCAATTAATTTCAGTGAGGAAAATTGACTTGATATATGTGTATGAGCAAAATGACTTACAAGCTCTGTCATGGAACGAATTAAACTCACAAGTCAAGGTACCACTGTACTTGATGTACAGGTCAAGCGGACATGTCTAGTTCACGTGAATCTGCCTCTGGGATTGTATTTTTTTTGAGGGAATGTTAATAATTTTCATGGTTAAACTTAATGGAATTTTTAAAGAAATTCATCTCATTTTATAATAGGATTTGATTTTAAGTATCATACTTGCTTAACATAAAATTGTGTGACTGAACATATTTAAAACTCGTCTTGTTACTAAAGTATTTTTCGCAATGTAGTGTATGGAAAATAAGCTTCTTTGCCTTCATGACTATTGTATTGTAATTAATCACAAGATTCTTAATCATTTTCAATGTGATTCATTAGTCTTTATCCTGTGCCATTATAAAATGAAGCTATTTATTTCTTTATTAAGTATTAACTTTTTCTTTCAGAAACTTTAGGAAACAGTTCATGAGCCTGTTGTATGAACACAAGTTTGTCAATACCTGTAATCCCCGGGCAGGTAAGACCGTTGTCAAATATTGACCATTATCAAGATGTTGCATAACTGTTCATATGATGTATTGGATTTAGTGTTATACAGTATAATGAAAGAAACTAAATCTATATATTTTCTGCTTTCCTTTTCTTGGTCTTTAAACAAATTTTCTTTTACATATCCAGTCCAGGTTTGTTCTGTAGAGTTTATTTGCATTTTAGCTGGTTTTGACACAGTTCTCTAATTATTGTATTCTCACTGCTGCTAAACTTGTATACAGTACTCCTTTTCCCCCATAACCAGGAGGTACAAGACAGAACACACATGTACTGTACCACAAAGTACTGTATGCAGTTATTATTTTTTTTTTTATTAACTACACTGGCCGATTCCCACCAAGGCAGGGTGGCCCGAAAAAGAAAAACTTTCACCATCATTCACTCCATCACTGTCTTGCCAGAAGGGTGCTTTACACTACAGTTTTTAAACTGCAACATTAACACCCCTCCTTCAGAGTGCAGGCACTGTACTTCCCATCTCCAGGACTAAAGTCCGGCCTGCCGGTTTCCCTGAACCCCTTCATAAATGTTACTTTGCTCACACTCCAACAGCACGTCAAGTATTAAAAACAATTTGTCTCCATTCACTCCTATCAAACACGCTCACGCATGCCTGCTGGAAGTCCAAGCCCCTCGCACACAAAACCTCCTTTACCCCCTCCCTCCAACCTTTCCTAGACCGACCCCTACCCCGCCTTCCTTCCACTACAGACTGATACACTCTTAAGTCATTCTGTTTCGCTCCATTCTCTCTACATGTCCGAACCACCTCAACAACCCTTCCTCAGCCCTCTGGACAACAGTTTTGGTAATCCCGCACCTCCTCCTAACTTCCAAACTACGAATTCTCTGCATTATATTCACACCACACATTGCCCTCAGACATGACATCTCCACTGCAGTTGATCCCACAAATTTGCCAAGTTCCTAATTTGGAGGATTTGATTATCTAATGTTTTATAATAATAGTCAGCCTGCAAATAAGTTTGATTATTCACAGGTTTTTTCATAATATCCAATTTTTCAGGCTTGGCATATGACCGCTAAATTGAAAACTAATAATACAGTTTTTTAAATTGTGTTTGATGGCCTTAATATGTCCAACTCTATCTTCTTAATGGTCATTCATTCTTACAAATTTCAATTTTAACTAGATTAGGAGAATCTGGATTCTTAAATCCTTTTCATGGCAGAATATTTAGGCCTTTAAAAGACATGTTTTGCTAACTTTTTTACATGATTGAAACTAGTAAATTTTGTGTTGCCCATACAGGCTTGAAGGTTGATAATTCAAAAACCATGTAGGGGTTATGAAATGCTAAGTTTGTGCAAGATAAAAATTGCACTCAAACATAACAGGGTAGTACTGCATGACAGCATCCTGTCAGCCAACATTAGAGGATTCGTTACTAATGTTGAAGAGCTTACAGAAATTTTGTGAACACTGGATGTCCTAGCATGATTGCTGTTGTTGAAACATTTTTGGATGACAGGACTGGAAAATTTTGGCAAGAATTGCTGGCTTCACTTCATGGATGAGAAGAGACAGGCAAGGGCAAATTGAATGCTTCTCTAAAAGTGTACATGCCCAGCCCATTGATGTCACCATCCCTACTCACCTAGGAATAATGTTCTTCAAGCTATGCATAAACACTAGTACCTCTGTACTATCCCAACAGAACAAGGTGAGGAATCTACACTTGCAGCCTGGCTGTGGGACAGAGAAAATTGGCCGGCCCTTTGCTCTGAGCTTACCACCTCTGATTGGAATGCTCTTCTCCAAGGTGATGTTGACAACCAAGTGAATGCCTTCAATGGACACATCCTTAATAAGAACACATCCCTCATTAGCAGTATGTGACAAAGCCTGTAGATCAGCATTCGTTTGGTTTTCATTGTAGAGAGGCTGCTACTGCTAGGTACAAGGCTTGGTGAAGGTATAAGAGGCATCCCACTACCTGTAACAGGACCCTGTATAGGCAAGCCTTTAGGCATATTGGTGAAATCCAAAAGTGGGTCATCTCTCAATGGGATTCTGACACAAAAAGAAAGCTGGCAAGTAGAGCGAGCTCCAAAACCTGGTGGTCATTGGTCAAGGACAGACAAGGTTATGGGCCTGATGAACTTATTCCACCTCTAAATCAACAGGATGGGACCATCTGTACTAGTTGTCAAGAGAAAGATGACCCCTCTGCTGGACACTTTGCTGCCGAGATGCAAGTTCCTGATCCAGCAAGAGACTCTCCATGGCTGGTTGCAAGAACTGTGCCAAAGCTGTCAGTAGTGAAAGTAGGGCAGGAGGAGGTGTATCTTCTTAAATCGTTGGATCAAAAAATGGCTGTGGGCCTAGATAAATTGAGCCCAAGATTGCCGAGTAGATTTGCAGACCAGCTAGCAGCACCTCTAACTCGTATTTATCAGCACTGCCTAGCAGTGTAAATGGCCTTCTCTGGGGAAAGAGGCAGATGTAGTCCCTGTTCACAAAAAGAAGAGCAGAGCAGAAATCAGTCACTGGTAAGTTCCTGGAGATGCTTATCTCACAGCAGATGACAGGTTTTCGATTAACACTTACTCCTTTGTGACCGTCAATATGGCTTCAGAAAAGGTTACTCTGCTTCTCATCTCTTGTTAAACCTCAACACAAGGTGGTACCAGACACTTCATGAATCCAAAGTCAGCTGTGTAGTAACACTGGACATTGCTGGTGCTTTCAGCTGAGTATGGCATCAGGGACTCTTGGCAAAACTGTAAACACTGGGAATTGCAGGCTCTGCACTATATCTCCTCAGTGATTACCTTCAAGATAGATATAGATTTAAGTGTAGTTCTCAATGGGACAGAGTCAGCAAGATATCCTATTGGGGCAAGTGTTCCACTTGGAAGTGTGCTTGGGCCATTGTTAGGAAATGTCTATTTCAGTGAAATTCTTCATCTCATCCCAGTCCCATGCATATCCAGATGACTGGACTCTGACATTTACATATCCAAGAGAGGAAATGCCAGCTGCTTTAAGCTACATCAATCCCCAGCTTACAACTGTATCAGTCTTGGGTAAATGATGGCAGGTCACATTTACTCCCGAGAAAACACAGGTGTTGATGGTCTCTAGGCACCATGATAGTAATGGTAAAGCTGTCATAAGAATAAATGGGAGAGTGTTGGTACCTGGGGACAAAGTATACATCTTTGGGGTGAAATTTGACTCCAAACTGACCATGAAGAACCATGTTGTATATCTTGCAAACAAGGTGGGCTGGAAGCTTACAATACTAAGACATATTTCGCATCTGCGCAAGTGTATGGTGTAGGAGGTAGGTTACTGAAAGCAGTGAAGAGTTTTTACGAGGATAGTGAGGCTCAAGTTAGAGTATGTAGGAAAGAGGGAAATTTTTTCCCAGTAAAAGTAGGCCTTAGACAAGGATGTGTGATGTCACCGTGGTTGTTTAATATATTTATAGATGGGGTTGTAAGAGAAGTAAATGCGAGGGTCTTGGCAAGAGGCGTGGAGTTAAAAGATAAAGAATCACACACAAAGTGGGAGTTGTCACAGCTGCTCTTTGCTGATGACACTGTGCTCTTGGGAGATTCTGAAGAGAAGTTGCAGAGATTGGTGGATGAATTTGGTAGGGTGTGCAAAAGAAGAAATTAAAGGTGAATACAGGAAAGAGTAAGGTTATGAGGATAACAAAAAGATTAGGTGATGAAAGATTGGATATCAGATTGGAGGGAGAGAGTATGGAGGAGGTGAACGTATTCAGATATTTGGGAGTGGACGTGTCAGCGGATGGGTCTATGAAAGATGAGGTGAATCATAGAATTGACGAGGGAAAAAGAGTGAGTGGTGCACTTAGGAGTCTGTGGAGACAAAGAACTTTGTCCTTGGAGGCAAAGAGGGGAATGTATGAGAGTATAGTTTTACCAACGCTCTTATATGGGTGTGAAGCGTGGGTGATGAATGTTGCAGCGAGGAGAAGGCTGGAGGCAGTGGAGATGTCATGTCTGAGGGCAATGTGTGGTGTGAATATAATGCAGAGAATTCGTAGTTTGGAAGTTAGGAGGAGGTGCGGGATTACCAAAACTGTTGTCCAGAGGGCTGAGGAAGGGTTGTTGAGGTGGTTCGGACATGTAGAGAGAATGGAGCGATACAGAATGACTTCAAGAGTGTATCAGTCTGTAGTGGAAGGAAGGCGGGGTAGGGGTCGGCCTAGGAAAGGTTGGAGGGAGGGGGTAAAGGAGGTTTTGTGTGCGAGGGGCTTGGACTTCCAGCAGGCATGCGTGAGCGTGTTTGATAGGAGTGAATGGAGACAAATGGTTTTTAATACTTGACGTGCTGTTGGAGTGTGAGCAAAGTAACATTTATGAAGGGATTCAGGGAAACCGGCAGGCCGGACTTGAGTCCTGGAGATGGGAAGTACAGTGCCTGCACTCTGAAGGAGGGGTGTTAATGTTACAGTTTGAAAACTGTAGTGTAAAGCACCCTTCTGGCAAGACAGTGATGGAGTGAATGATGGTGAAAGTTTTTCTTTTTCGGGCCACCCTGCCTTGGTGGGAATCGGCCAGTGTGATAATAAAATAAAAAATTTCACATCTGTGTGACAGTAGAGGTTGCAAAAATTATGTACACTCACACCTTAAGTATGCTCCACTTTCTTGGATTTCCTGTCCCCCATCTCATCAGCGACTTCTTGACAGAGTAGAGAATGGAGCAAGGTGCCTCATCTCTTGCCTGGACCCGGCCTGGATATCTCTTGTCATTTCAGCAGAGCCTTCAACACTAGACGGATGTGAGCAGCCTTACTGTTGTGTATTAACCCATTCAGGGCCCACAGGCCCTCTTAGAGACTTGTTCTCAGGGTCCCCCATTTTTCAAAGAAAAAAAATAATTTTTTCTTAAGAAAAGATAGAGCATCTTTTCCCGATCATAATGACACCAAAAGTATGAAATTTGATGGAAAATTTACGGAATTATGCTCTTCGCGAAGCTAGCGGTCTCGACGATGTTTACGCATCGGCGATTTTGCCCACCTTCAGCCCTATTTTCAGTGTACATGTACTAGTCAACAAAAATCATACTTATTTAGCTAGAACTTCATTTTTTCTATCAAATGAGTACAAGAAACCACCCATTTACCGATTTCAACTATCCAATACAGTGGTCAGAATTTATCAATTTTGCCAATTTCACACAAATTTCAAGAGATGCCAATTTCCAAATAGGGTCCAGAATAAACAAGAAAGACATTCCTGGCACTAAAATAACATTTCCTCTGTTCATTAGTCATGTCCCCACGCCCCCCTTACATTCTTTTGCTTTCCATTTTGAATTTTTATTCTCACAAAAAAAATAGAAGATTTACTGTTATGCAGACTATTGCATTAGTGTAGAAATGGTATAAATAATATCAGCGCACTTGTGAAAGAATATTAGACTCACCAGTTGACGTGTATTGGACGCTTAGCATGATTTGTTTACTTTTGAACTTTGGTAAAAATCGAACATTTCTGCTACTTTGAGCTCAATTTCAAGGTACTTTTCATTGTAAAACTAGTCAAAATCATCTCAATTTCTGTAATATGTCTCCCATTCTATCAAATGAGACCAGGAAAACTAGAATACAACAATAAATACCATACGAAAATACAGTGCAAAGTCACTGTTTTAATCCAAAAACATAGTCAAAGTTTTTTTTTCTCATTACGCACTGTGTGCTGCTGGATTTTTTTTATACCGCGCACACTGACCACATAGACCCATTCTTTCATATGTAGTCCTTCCAGCTTTCTCACACTAGATTTGAAGGCGCTAGAATTTATGAGTACTAGAGGAGGCCTGGTCACAGACCGGGCCGCGGGAGCGTTGACCCCCGAAACTCTCTCCAGGTAAACTCCAGGTACGTCAAGGACCCTGGCACGTAAGCCGTATTAGTACAGCCGAAACCCTGAAAGGGTTAAACCAATATTGTAAAAGTACTACACACGGCTCCACTCCAAGGACAGGAATAAGTGTGCTTCTACACGACAAGATGGAAAGCAAGCAGCAACTCCACTCTGGCTGTACCTTTCTCCAGAACATCGCTATATCTGAGATCATTTATTCCTAGGATGACTTGAGTCTGGACCATGTTCATACAACATAGTGATATCAGTGAAATAAAGTCAGTTGATCAAATGAAATTGCTGGCCCACAGATGGCTCCAATTTCATCTTGTAATAAAAGGATTTCAATGAGCTCTTAGCTTGTATTTTTTTTTTTTTTTTTTTTTTTTTTTTTTTTACACAAGGTTTGACAAGGTTAGGTTAAGAATCCCTAACTTTGTTGACAAGCTATTTACAAGTTAAGAATTACTAACTATTGATAAGCTAAGAGCTGTTACCTACATCAGCTCACTTGAAGGCATTTTTATTGTTATGAAATATGCAAGTAGGGAACAGGATGAAGTTGGAGCCATCTGTGGGTCAGCATTTTCATTTGGTCAACTGACTTCATCACATTGACATCATAATGCTGTACGAATGTGTTCCAGACTCAAGTCATCCTAGGGATAAATGATCTCAGATAAAGTGATGTTCTGGAGAAGGGTACAGCCAAAGTGAAGTTGCTGCTTTCTGCAGCAACTTCACTTTGGCTGTACCCTTCTCCAGCGAGAAGCTTGCTTCTCGCTGTCCTCGAAATGGAGCCAAGTGTGGTACTTTGACAATGTTGGCCTTGTACATAACAGTAAGGCCACCCACACCCCTCCTGTGTTGAAGGCTCTGCTGAAATGACGGATCTATCCAGGATTGGTCCTGGCAAGAGATGAGACGTCTTGCTCTGTTCTCTACTCTGTCAAGCAGTCGCGGATGAGAGGGGGGCAGGCAAACCAAAAAAGTGGAACATACTCAAGGTGTGAGCGTACTCATGCCTCATACAGAATCTTGCAACCCCTACTGTCAAGCAGATGTGAGATACGGCAAAGTGCTGTAAGCTTCCTGGCTTCCTTCTTTGCAAGATTTACAACGTGGTTCTTCATGGTCACTTTGGAGTCAAATTTCACCCCAAGAATATCAACTTCTTCCCCAGGTACCAACGCTCTCCCGTTCATGCTTACTACTGCACCGGCATTACCATTATGGTGCCTAGAGACCATCATCATTTGTGTTTTCTCAGGTGCAAATGTTATCTGCCATTGATTTTCCCTGTCTGATATAGCTCTTAGCTGGTGATTGATGTAGCTTAGAGCAGCTGTCATTTCTTCTCTTGGATAAGTAAATGTCAGAGTACAGTCGTCTGCATATGCATGGGATTTTGGGATGAGATGAGGAAGGTCATTGAATTAGACATTCCATAACAGTGGTCCCATTACACTTCCTTGTGGAACACTTGCCCCAATAGGATGTCTTGCTGATTCTGTTCCATTGAGAACTACCCTTAGAGATCTACCATGAAGGTAATCACTGAGGAGACGTAGCATAAAGCCGTCAATTCCCAGGGCTTGTAGTTTCGCCAAGAGGCCCTGGTGCCACACCCAGTCGAAAGCACCAGCAATGTGCAGTGCTACCACACAGCTGACTTTGGATTCATCCAGTGACTGGTGCCATTTAGTGGAGAGGTTTAACAACAGATCAGCAGCAGAGTAACCTTTCCTGAAACCATACTGACGGTCACAAAGTAGTGAGTAGTAATAAAAAAACTGTCATTTGTCTTGAGATTATTGTCTCAAGGATCTTGCCAGTGATTGACTAGAGTGACACTGGTCTGTAGTTGCTATTTCTGCTCTGCTCTTCTTTTTGTGAATGGACTACATTTGCCTCTTTCCACAGAGAAGGCCATTTACACTGTACTAAGCAGTGCTGAAAGATGTGAGTTAGAGGTGCTGTTAGCTGGTCTGCATATCTTATCAGCAATCTTGGGCTCAACTTGTCTGTCCCACAGCCTTTTCTTGGTCAAGCAATTTTAGAAGGAATTGCACCTCCTCCTGCCTTATTGTCACCACTGATAGTTTTGACACAGTTCTTGCAGCTAGCCAAGGAGAGTCCCTTACAGGATCAGGAACTCACATTTTGGTAGCAAAATGTTCGGCAAAGAAGTCCGCTTTCTCTTGACTACTAGTAAAGGTGGTCCCATCCTGTCAATTTAGAGGTGGAATGAGTTCATCAGGCAGATAACCTTGTCTGTCCTTGGCCAAGGACCACCAGGTTTTGAAGCCTACTCTACCGGATGCTAGCTTTCTTTTTGTGTACACCTCCATTTAGCGATGACCCACTTTTGAACTTCACCCATATGCCTACAGGATGTCTCTTATACCTTCACCATGCCTTGTACTTAGCAGTAGCAGCCTCTCTACAACAAAAGCCAAACCAAGGCTGATCTGTATGCTTCATCGCATATTGCCGGTGATGGATGTGTTCTTGTTGTAGATTGAGGATGTGTCCAGTGAAGGCCTTCACTTGGTTGTCAACATCCCCTTGGAGAAGAGCATTCCAATCGGTGGTGGCGAGCTCAGAGCAAAGGGCTGGCCAATTACCTCTTTTCCATAGCCAGGTTGTGTGTGTGGACTCCTCACCTCGTTTTGTTGGGTTCTTAAGTGCTGTAAAAACAGCCTTGTGTTCAGACGATCCAACATAGCCGAGGAGTTAACAAGTGTAGACTATGCCTTCTGCCAGATCACTCACCACTGGGTCAAGGGAGGAGCCAGAGATGTGAGTAGGGAAATCAATAAAGTTTCTCATGTCAAATACTTCAAGAAGGTCATCAAAGCCCCTCTATATAAGGTGTTGATTGAGGTCACCAACAACTATGATATGTTGATAGTTGTGTTGAAGCAGAAGGGTGTCCTCATTTTCCATTATGAAGTTGATGGGGTCTGCATGTTTCCACTGAGGTCTGTACATTGCACATACTAGTACAGAGGTACTAGTCTGTATGCATAGCTTGAAGAACATCATTTCAAGATGAGTAGGAATGGCAACATCAGTGTGCTATTGTCTCTCGCTCTGTCTCTCTCTGTCTCTCTTGTAAGCCGAGGTTCCACTATATTGCTTCCAAGTAATGTGTTAAATTTTTCAGAATTTTTGTCATTCGACACAGCTCTATTTTAATACAATTTTTATGACCTGTAAACTAGTGTAAAACTTCAGTCAAATGACCTAAATTATGCTCTAGCTTAACTTTATCTCTCCCAACAGTGTGCTAGTAATATTTGACATAAGAGGCTTAGGTGTTGATGTGGTTATGTACAAATACACTACAAGTAAACCATATCCCAACAGGTGAAGTCAACCGTAATTCTGAAAATTTAGCTCTAGTGCGAGCTATCATCACTGCAGGCCTTTACCCTAATGTAGCTCGAGTCTTGCCAAACAGTGGGCGACCTAGTCCCCATAAACCAGTGAGGATTCGAACAGCACAAGAAAAGCGAGTTGCATTGCACCCAAAGTCAGTGAATGAGAAGGAAAGGAAATTTGAGCATCCATGGCTGATATACAGAGAAAAAATTAAGTCATCACAGGTAAATTATTATACAGTACAGCTAAAGTTTTATTATATTTCTTTTATGTAATCCAGGGTTAATAATTCATTTACTTTATTTCAGCTTATTTACTCTTTGCTTAAACATATACATTTAATAATCAGGTCACATATATACAGTTGAATTATGTATGTACTATACTAGCACAACTTCAAAATAATGCTCTAATATGTGAATGGAGAAATCCCTACAACTGTTGACAAAAGTTAGGCCAAAGCTGGAGTATGCAGCTGTAATATGGTGTGCAAATAAAAATATAAAATAGACAAATAAACTAACAAATATAAAGAAAGAAGAAAAATGATAAACACTAAAAACATCCTCGCTTGTAAGTAGGAGGGGGGAAAATAATTATAATAACCAATAAAATCATCATGAAAAGTAAATAAAAGATTTTTTAGCATCATTAACCCTTTAACTGTCCGACATACTAGTATGCAGGTCCTGGTACTGGACGCAGTGAGTCACATCTGAGTCCTGATAATATTATTTGCCAGTCTGAATTTTTCTGGGTTATCCTAGGTAATTTACCCTATGTATAATTGTATTTATGTATACCTGTGAGACAGACAGACACCTGACTGACTGACTGACTGCCCGCCCGCCCGACCGACCGACCGACCGATCGATCTTCAGTGACACTTCAATCTGTGTTAGAACTATCACTTGGGAAGAAAATATTCTCAGTTTGAGGAAGAGTGAGGTCTTCCTTACCACTTGGCTTGGTGACAAAGACACACTGAATTACCACTCCCACAATGCAGTGCAGCTGCCTAGATTTTTTCCTACTGTGTACACTAACCACACAACCCATTCTATCACATGTAGGCCTACAGCTTTCTTGCGCTCAATTTGAAGGCACTAGAATTTATGCGTACAAGTACGTGACCAACCCTCAAAGGGTTAGCTACTAGGGATGACTGTGTCTTATGTGTTAGTTCGCATCACTAGCAAAAGTAAACAAAGGAACCAGGAGCTGTTGTTCCACCACCAGCTTCCCTACCAGCAAACAGTGTGCAAGTGGCTCAAAGATGACTTATTCAGTCAAAATTTATTACAGTTTCATGATACTAACGTGGAATTCAGCCACAACGCACACTAGGTATATAACCCAGAATAACCCAGTAAAGTCAGTGTGAATAATTCCCATTGTTTTGATGAGTAATACACTATGAAATAATTGTAATATTATAAGCAGTCATACATAGCCTTAGGAGACCAAAATAGTAGAAAAAATACGATAAAGTAACAGTTTTAAAGTACGTATACTGAACATATAACCCAGTAAAGTGTATCAATATTTCCATGTTTTGAGGAGTATTACACTGGCGAAACAATTATAATGTTATAATTATTTCTTGTACATAGCTTTAGAAGACTAAAATAGAAAAAAAATTAATTAAAACCAGTCATTCTTTATATATACTGATTATTTCAAGTGAAGCAATGTTTGAAGTGCTAAAACACCTTGAAACATGTCTAAAAATTAGTATTTATATATAGCATTAAACATAAAAGCATTTAAAAAAGAGCAAGTCTTCTTTCAACAAACCGGCCACATCCTAATGAGGTATGGCGCCCCAAAAAGAAAAATGAAAGTTTCTCTTTTGGCTTACGGAGGAAGAATTCTGTTCCACTTCCCTATGGAGAGAAAAACAATCGTGTACGTCAAATTGTAAAATGTAATCATTGCTGGCACTTTAATGCTGTTGTTAATTAGCAATCATTTTACATCAACTTCAACACTCAGTAAAATCACAAGTTTTAATCAGATTTCATTCATTTTAATCTTATTCGATTCAGAAAGACAAACTCTATCAATCTGTAAGAATTTTTTTTTTTTTTTTTTTTTTAAATCTCCACCCCCACACACTTTTTTTTTTTTCCTAGATCTCCCACCGTTAAAGGGTTAATACCGAGATGTCATGTGTAAATAAAAGAAA